ATGTTGGAATCTCAATTCCACAAATCAATAAATCTCGATTTTATATTGGTCGATTCCACCTAGGTCAGAAACTTGACTCCAATCAGCTAGGAATCACGATTTTATCTGTGTAGGGATCTCGATTCTATTTTGGTCGAACATCAATTCCTAAAAATACGAATCTCGTAACCCACGTTCCTCTTGCACAGACATGGACTTCGAAAACCGGAATCTTCCGGCGGCAATTCCGGCTTCTGATTCCTATATTGATTTAGCTTCTAGATCGCTTTGAGTAACTATGATAAAATCTAAGCCTCACTCAATATATCCAACATGTCATCAGCCCTAGGTATGGGAAACCTATAGTTGAAGGTAATCTTATAGATTGTGTGACTATCAACACACTCCAACTACCATCCTTTTTCTGAGTTGAGTGCAGGGATTGTGCGTGGACTCAAACTTTCGCAGACAAGTCCTTTTTTTAACAATTTCATGACCTGCATATGCAACTCTTTATGCCCCCAAGACTCATCTGATAATGTTCAAGTGGGAGAGATTGGCTCTAGGAATGGGATCTATATAGTGTTGTATATCTGACATATGAGGAAAGCTAACAAAAAGATGCTCTAAGGTGTGCTCCCTAAATTCCTCCAAAAGGGGCTGAACCTCTATTGTACTTGATGGACTCTCCACTCATTCTTTAGCCTTAAGAAGTAAGACTATTTGCGTTTCCTTAACTTGGAGAAAGCTTTGCCCCATCACCTACAGCTTGTGCAATCTGCACCTACTGCTCCCTAATCTGCTGGAGGGAGTCATAGAGTTGATCAAATCTTTGTGGGTGGATTGTTGCAACTAACCCTGACTTGAACACACATGTGGTCTTAGCCATGACCAAGACCCTCGACCACATTACTTTGATCTGTCGTGGAATGTGAAGTTACCTGGTCTAAATATGAAACTTTTCTTTTCTCTATACCTAAGGAAGGACACTTCCAATGCTCTAGATGGGCACTAGAAGAAAGTTCCTAACTTGGAAACTCTTGGACAGCAACCAAAAAAACCTCACGAACTCCCTGTTAACCCTAGGACAGCACCTTAAAGTCGTAAACCATAATTACTGGGAAAGGGAGCGAGGGGAGCTCTAGGATTAGAACCGGGAACACAGAAGCCAGGGAGGCTCAAAGATCCGTACTTGAGGGAACGAGTTCCATACATTGTAAGGTAAAAGGCTCGAGATCCCTAACATTAAGGGAGTGCGTCACATAACAGTCCAGGAGTGAATGATAAACTGAATGGGATTGTTGTACGTCGAGCTCAAGGTCGAGGCTCCCAAAGATCACTTATCAATGATATATGCTAGTTCGAGAGCTAACTCCATTAGGCAGTTATTTAAGCAAGTTTTACTCTACAAAATTACTCATGTAAGTGCATTACAAAAATAGCACACCTACCTACATTAATCTACCTATGTATGCCCACGACCTCATTTTTTGCATCAATTGGTTGGATTGGGACAATTCCCCTCGACTGTCAATTGATGATTATATTTAAAAATGTTGCAATAGCTTGTTTTCAAATAAGAAATGCTACGATAGATAAGCTTTCGTTAGGAAAAGAAAAAGAAAAAAAGGGAAGACATTGCCATATATAATTCTTAATAGCACTCCTCTATCAAAGTTTGCTAGGGACTCAAGGACATATAGACAAGAAATGCCTTATATTTCCAAGTATTTCATATATTATTCCATCACTTATAAGGCAACCCTATGAGTGGCTCAATTTGAGAGACTAGTACTCAAATTGTAGAAGTCCTTCAAGAGGTGGATAGGACCCAGTGAATTATTAGCTTAAGGAAGTTAAGCCTATCAATTGTGACTTCATCCCTCGATGAGAACCGCAACTCAACTATCTTTTATATCTCTTTTCATCTTCTTCCTTCTCTCTCCCCATCCTCTCTTGTTGCCTTTCATTGAAACTAGTCAAAAGTCACAATTCAAAAGGTGTATAAAGTTGTTAATTGTAAAATATATAGGAAATCAGGGCCATTAGAAAGTTTATAGGTCATTAAAAATAGAAGATCAACGCTCCGCTGTAGATGAACCTGAAAATGTGATGGTGAAACCCACTCCCAAAGTAGAAGAAACTCAATTCCAAGTTGGTACAATCATGGTTCCAGTTACTCACGAAACCATGATTTGGGGCATAGGGATCTGGATCTCATTAACCTAGGATCTAGTACCTCGATTTCCAGGATCGAGATCCTTAAATCAAGGAAATGCCCAGAATCGAGATCTTGTGTCTCGGAGCGGGGATCGAGCTTCCAGAGCGAGAGCGACACCCTCTTTAGAAGATCCTACCTTCTACGCCCAAAACACTTAGAAAGGCTATACCACAAAGTAGGACAACACCTATGAGATATAACAGCGAAAGGACAACACCTTAAAGACCTAATGGACACCTTAAAACTATAGGAATCCCTAACAATTTAAAAGCAAGCCTCTAGCCCCTAGAACTACTTGCTTTGATACCGAACTGATGTAATGTAAGATCAGCCATTGGCTGATTTTCAATTACAAGACCCTAACACATGCCTAGAGAACATTTTTATATTCAATTAAGGCTAAATATTTACAATTTCAGCAGGTAATCATTCACAAAAATGAAAAACCAAACTTGTGAAAATTAACATTGAATTTTAAGAATTTGTTTTAATGTCCAAGGGATGAGATTTCAAATCCGCAATGGATTGAAATGTGTTCTAAAACAAAATCAGCCAAATAAAAGTTGATCCCAGTAAATTTAAAGTTCATCTACAGCCCGGAGAGAAGAAGAGGATGTAGAATAACTTTAAATGAATTCATGAACATCTCTACAGCTAGTTCTATGGTTTTGAAGTTAATAGGGTGTAAAGAAATTAGGCTTTTGACTTTATATGTGAAATTAAGGTTAGATTTCAAGGGATTTTATTTAGGGTTAATTCCATAGAGAACCTATGGGTTTATTTTAAGGCTTTTGTGGATTTCTAAATGGGAATGTTTGTTAAGAGGGTTAAAACAAACAAAAAGTTGAAGAAAGAAGAAAATAGGGAAATTATCACAAATGTACCTTAATTTTTGTCTATTTAGAAAAAAACCCTCGACTTTCATAAACCTCGCCCACACTCTTTTTCTTCAATTTTGAGCATTTTTTTACCAAAATAACCTTCATTGTAGTCGTATTATCGTGAAGTCAATTACGGTACTTTAATTACTGTAAAAACTAATCCATGTTATACAGCATTTTAAGAACCGTAAAAACTAATCCATGTTATACAGCATTTTAAGTACCGTAAAACTAACCCATGTTATACGGCACTCAAAATGCCGTAAACCTTTTTCTCCTATTCATATTTATCTCTTTCATCTCTCTAAATTATTTTTTTGTGTTTATCTCTTCTTTCTCTCTCTAATTCTTTTTAATATTTATCTCTTCTTTCTCGCTTTAAATCTTTTCTGTCACTAACTCTCTTTCTCTCTCTACTTATTTCAACAACTCAACAAACACGACTCCATCGCGATACAAATATGACTTCGTTTAATTTTTATAGGGGATAGGGGATGGTAAGGCACGCACCGGTTGTTATACAAATCTCCTTGGAGAGAGAAAGAGAGTTAGAGAGAAAAAATATTTAAAGAGAGAAAGAAGAGATAAATATTAAAAAGAATTAGAGAGAGAAAGACGAGATAAATATTAAAAAGAATTAGAGAGAGAAAAAATAGATAAATATTAAAAAGAATTAGAGAGAGAAAGAGAAGATAAACATAAAAAGAATTAGAGAGATGAAAGAGATAAATATAAACAGGATGAAAGAGATAAATATAAACCGTAGCAAAGGGTTTACGGCATTTCGAGTGTCGTATAACATGGGTTAGTTTTTACGGTACTTAAAATTTCGTACTACATGGGTTAGTTTTTACAATACTTAAAATGCCATAAAAAAGTACCGTAATTGTGCTTCACGGTAATACGACTACCGTGAAGGCTATTTTGGTTAAAAAAATACCAAAATTGAAGAAAAAGGGTGCTGGAGAGGTTTATGAAAGTTAAAGGTTTTCTTCTAAATAGACGAAAATTAAGGTAAATTTCTGATAATTTCCCAAGAAAATAGGAATAATAAAGAAGAAAGAGAAGATTAATAAATGAGGAAGAACACTAGAGAATTCAAGGGAAGAAAAGAAGTAAAAGTGAAACGAAAAGAAGAAAGAAAAGAAATTCAAAAAAAACATAAGGGAAAGAAAGGAAATAAAAGAAGTAAAACTCTTTGTACCTCCAAGACAAGTAATTGGAAAAACCATGATGGTAGAAAACAAGTAACTGGAAAAATCATGATAGCAAAACTCTCTATGCCTCCTAGACAACTAAATACAGATTGACTAAACCCTATAGGGCAATGATGAGCAAGCCATATCATGTCATGTTGAAGCTCATAAATGGAAAAATTAGTTGGTAATGAATGTTCTGCAAGCATGAGATAATGTTTCCGACCTAGTCTTGTATAGAACAAAATCCTAACCTGAAAGAACTCAATTACATATGGGATATAAGAACCAGAGGAGTATTCACCATAAAAGCAGGCACTTATGCAAATGATATTATTACTATATGCAAAAGAATGACAGTCCGGTAAAATAGAAAGAAATGGTCCCAAAAAAAAAGGTACTCTCATAGCAAAACCTATAGAACATAAAAAATAAGCTGGAGACAGAACTATCAGTTCAGTTGGATAGTCACAAGTACCCAAGTTAAGACCAACATGCTCTAAGAAAATAGTCCAACTCCCAGGTCATTGTAAGTCTTAGATTGTAAAATTCGCCGAAGCAGGTACACAGGCCCTGGCCCTTTATAGAGATTGGTTTCTAGAGAGCACATCCAATGCTTGCGCTTCTTTTGAACAATAAGCATTCCCATCATCCAAGTCACACTACTAAAAATCTAATAACCTCTGAATAAACACCATTTGAATACCCATAGGCATTCATTACCTGTTAGTATTTGAGTGCCAAAGAATTTTGTAAACAAGAGCATCCCCATGCCACATATGAAAGCTGCAAACAGCAAAATGGAAATGTGTTTCTGTGCTTCCTTTCTGTCCTGCATAAACATGAATAGGGTACACAAGCTTCAATTGAAGAGTCAGACTTAGTATGATGGCCAAACCATGGAAACTAATTCGATCAAGAAGTCTTCCCTTTCTAATATATGTGCTTTCTTGGCATCACACAATTGAACCATACTGTCACATGGCAATGCAGAAAAAGATATTCTATAGCAAAAAAAAGTTCATATTTTAAGTGAAAATTCATTTTTCACAAAGTCGTGCTAATGCGGTAGCCCAAGTGTCTCCATAATTAACAGATAAGAAAAGACTTGTTTTGGATAGTTTATAAGAAAGATACTTTTAGGACTTCAAAATCCAATCTGATGAATTATAGAGGAGAAAAGTAGTGAAACAGAAACGCATCTTAATGGTGTATATGATTTCTGAGACAGATTTATGTTTCATAGATGGGCAAATACTTGGAATCATCAATAGAGAAACCGTAAGGTCTACATACAGTCCATAACCCAAATGTGCTAGTAAGAAAACTATGATGCAAAAAAGGAGTAACAGACCTAACAAGAATGTTTTCAACAATAACTCAGGCCAAACACCAAAGCGAAAAGAATAATAATTACTGTAATATACCATGTTATTGTATCATTATCTAGTGCAGAATGCTTAAGCATCATCATCATCAGAGCCTTTTCTCAACTATTTGGGGTCGGCGACACGAACCCTAGTCCACCATTCTGCTCTATCAAAGGCCACACGCTTAGTGAGGCCATAAGTCGCCATATCTTTTCTCACTACTTCCAAACATCTTTGTTTGGGCCTACTCTTGTACAGAAGATGTGAAGAATAGAAATTACATAACACAGTGTACTTGGCCGCGTTACACAGCCTCTCAGCCTATAACCAAGGCAAGCACCCATGTTCTCCTAGGGTGCAAGGGCAAAGTGAGCAGTACTCGAGCAAGTACTGTTTATACTCACCCCAGTACTGGGAATATAACAAAAAAGAGGGGCACAAACCCCTATTTCATTTCTCTCTCTCTCTATCTCTCTCTCTCTGAGGCAAAAAGCTGCCACCTTTTCATCTCTCTCTAAAAGGGGGCAGAAATCTATCGTTTTATCTCTCTAAAAGAGGGTGGAGATCCACCCCCTATCTCTCTCCTCCAAGAGAGAGAAAGATGCTTGAATATGAGAGTAGAGAGAGTATGAGAAAGAGAAATGCCTAAGAGAGATAGAGGAGATGCCTATGAGAGAGGAGAGATGATTATGAGAGAAATACCTTAGAGAGATAGAGATGCCTATGAGAAAGAGAGATACATGTGAGAAGAGAGAGAAGCTTGTGAGAGAGATAGAGAGATGCATGTGAGAGAGAGATGACTGACAGGGAAAAAGAGACATGGCAAGAGCTCTCTTTCCCTCCAGCCACCCTCCTAAGGCCCTCCCTCTCTTGGGCATGTCGCTAGGATGCCTTTTTCTTCTTTTTTTTGTTCTTTCAGAGTCCACTCGGACTTGGCCAAGGAACTCGGCTCGGGCTATGGCGCAAGCCGAGTTTCCAAACATTGATATACAACACCAATCAATCCTTTGAAAGCTGGATCAAAGAAACAATGTGCAGCCCAATTAAAATATTATTTGGACCTATGGCTCTATCAAAGCCCTACTCAAGTAACATGTATGATCAAAATCTTGGTCTAGTCAGCCACCCATCTTGGTTCATTTCTAAGAAGAATCCTTGTTATGAATTACTCAGCACAAATAATGTCAACCATGAGCAGGCAAGTCAACTAAGTAGTATGCATTTTAATAAGTTTTCCCATGTGATGGTACCTCAATTAATTTATAGTTCAATGCTTTCAAGCTTGAAAACTTATATCTCAAAGGAACATTGTCCATTGATCCAAGAAACAGTGATTACAACTTATACTCAAACAGTGAACGAAAACTCGACCGCCTTGCCGCCTAGGCGTAGCCTAGGCTGTGGGGTCTCGGCAGACGCCTAGGCAGGTCTAGGCACTCACCTAGAGCCACCCCTTAAAAAAT